TATAAGTTTAAGGAGTCAAGCCTTTACTCATCTATCCACTTGCATTTTTTTCTAAAGCACTGGAAAAGTTTTTGATTTACAATTTTCATCGAAAATTTTCATCGAAAATTGTAAATCAAAAACTAATAGTAAATAATAATAATAATAAATTATGAGATCGAAATTTAATTATCTTATTTGTTCAATATATGCATAATTTACAAGTTAATTCATATGCAAAATAATTATCTGTATTAATTGAATTATTAAATTAAGCACTATCTTACATGCTTGTGTTCAGTTAATAAGGTATTGAGTAATAATAATATTACTTTCATTGAATATTCAAAAATGTTAATTTACAAATATGAATGTGGACAAATCTGTAAATTATGCATTATATATTATTAAACTATATTTTTTCAATAATAAAGCTGATCCTTTTATAGCTCTTATGCAATAATTTATTCGCAATAAAAAATAATAAATGAATTTTATCGCAAATGGATAAAGCATGCAGCGAATTCATGGAGTTTGCTGTCTGAAAGTGGATTGAAATTTTTGAAATCGTTCAAATTTTCAAACTGGTTCTTGATATTGAATAAATTCCATCAACAAAGTTTTTGTAATATTAAAATTCGTGCATTAGTTTTGCTCATTACTAAACTATTAAGTTGGAAAATTGTATTCAAACTGAAGTTTTTGCAGTAAATATTTTCAGCTATGCTAAGCTTAAAGCATATTTAAAGTGAATTTGTTCAACGGTTGTTTTGAGATTTTATTATTAATTAAGTAACATTCGCTTTTATTCCCATTTACTTTCAAGTTTCAGTAAGTTTTAATAAAGCAGTCCATGTGTCACGTATACGCATTAAAAAATTGAGAGTTAATCTTCTACGTTACAACTTTTCACGCAACTTTTATCTCCTGTGAAATGTGATGCTGTATGAGTACAGATTTAATTGACCTTTGCCAGCTTAATTTACTCAACACATTAATTTTCGCGTTTTTCAGTTTTCTTCAAAAATATAAAACATTTAATCTTAATTTATTGCAACTATTTTTGCGTCTTCCTAAACCAAATTTCTGCTTACTCTTATTCCCATACGTGGATCATATTTGAATAAGTAATTATTTTTAAGGTTGTTGGAGGTCGACGATCAGACACAGGTCGCTTAGGTGCGTTTATCACCCGTGTAAAACCTGGTTCCGTTGCTGATACTGTTGGTCGTTTACGTGCTGGTTACTTTTAGTCATAATTAATTTTTACATTTTTTCTTAAATTTTGAAGTTCTAAGTATTTTCAAATATATTTCAATCGAAAATTTAGTAATCGACATTTTTCAACAATCTAAATTATTATCTACTTCTCAAGAGTTTAAAAATGAAGCATGCATTTCATGTTATAGTAGAAAGTTTTATCATGCAAATTATTAGTAATAAAAATCACTTTTAGGTGCTATGAAAAAATTGCATCACCAAATAATATTATTAGTTTTCGTAAAAAAATTGAGAAATATTGATTACTTGAATGATTTTCATGATCAATCAATGAACTTCTAGTCAAATTTGGAGGCAAAAAATTAATTAATTGAAATGAAACAAACAGGTGATGAAGTACTAGAATGGAATGGTCATCAGTTACAAAATGCAACATACGATCAAGTTTATGAAATTATAAACTTATCAAGGCATGATTTGCAAGTGGAACTAATCGTTTCACGTTCAATGAGGTAATCAGTAGCCAATCAATAATATATTGATAATAACTACTGAGATAAACACATATTGCCTGCTTTTTTTGCCAAAAGATATGAAGTAAAGATATGATGAGAATGATAAGGATACTGAAAAAATTTGATTATTGTGCCTACAAAAAGGTGAAAGAATAATTATTTAAAAACAGGTAACAAAATAAAGATAGATCACATTTAAGGTTCACCTGAACTTGCAGATCAAAAGGTTCATTTCATAGTTTAGCTCAGAAATACCACTCAGCTTTTCAAATTTTGATTTAGAATATAACATATTTTTATGCTAAGCATTTTTCGCATCTGAACAATTTATCGTTAAATTTATATTGTTATTCATACTACCTGGTGACATGAACCATGAACTTTGACCTTGCCCTGATATCTTTGTAAATATTTTTCTTTATTTACATCTTTATAGCACACCTGGTGGTGATGATTTCCTGAACGTACAAAGACTGCTACCAAATCCAAGTTGTCTTCCAAGAAGTTAGCTATATTTAATGACTATCGATTTTTGCAAATTAATCAAAAATTATTTTTTCTTAAAGTGTAAATTAAAAATTCTTAATTTGGACGAAAATAAATTATTATATACTTACATCAAAACATGCAAATAGTTAATGAAAATACGTATGTGTTAATTTGGCGTTCTTTCCCTCAATGATTTTGCATACTTTTCAGTACTGATAATCTCAAAGAAATTAAATCTGCTACTTTCTAGTAATTTTGCGCATTACTTATTGACTAATAATTTTTGGCATTCTTAAAATGATTTAATTATGAGACCATTATTAAAATTTTCTTTTCACTGCATGAAAATTTGGTAATATCTCTTTACTTCTGATTTCAAAC